AAACGTTTGTAGTCGCTATTCTTGCCAATACATCCTGTATTGTTATTCAGTTTGTCTGCGTGCTGGTGGGCAAACGTTCGACGTGAAAAGTCTTCTGCAAGGACTGTACCTTTAAAGCAGAGAAAACGGCACCAGACCTTTTCGGCTATGTTTGGCTTGTGGCTTAAGCCATTCCTCTTCGCACTTTAGTCATAGAGGCTACATTTACAATCATGTTACATTTTTAAGTTTTTTTGAGAGACCTCAGAAGGCTTCAACTTGATGCATAAAAATATGGCATCATGTGTTCTCACGTTATGAACTCGCTTACACCTGGGATACGCTTTATTCAAACTCAGGTTCCTAAATATGCAGCCAGGTACTGGGTATTGTTTAAATAAAAGCTGCGACAATTTTCACAGATCGCGATCTCTTAAATGCGTGTGGTTTGAAGTATCTGTGTCATTTTCGCAAAGTTATTGACATCTGAAAAATCGTGGTCTCAAAAATAGGCATTTTAATAAGCGAAGGTTATGAAAACCGGAGAAAACAAATGACTCTGAACTACAATAAAGCAGGGTTTCCTGTCTCCTTTTACAGATGGACAATGACATACCAGATTCACACTCACCTTTTTCTATACATTGTACATTGTCATTGATCTCTGCAGTACTTAACACATCATACTGAATTAAACCTACAAGTTTCAGAAATATATATTTCTTGTCTTCTTCCACAGCTCGACAATAACACAGCAGATTTACACTCACCTGTTTTTATACAAACGGGATGTTTATAGTGTTAATTACAGTCCAGATTTAGAGCGAATTTTTACACACCGATATTTTACACAGAAGACTGACACAGCTTTGCCTTGTGAATCTCTTTCTCTCGTGGTTTTATTGAAAGTGGCACTATTAGACAGGCAATGCACTGGGATAGGGGGTTGCTGTTCACGAGCCAAGAGCATTTAAACACCCACACTGCTGCAACTAAGTGTTTTACACACCAGGGTTTGTGCGGCAATAACCCAGAGAACGATCTTGGGTAGCACACACACAACTCCTCACTTACAGAGCTTCTGCAGCCTTTCTTCAGTGTCAGCCAGCACTCAGGGAAGAGACTTTTACAACCCTTTCGACAAGGGTGAAACACACTCAAGGGCAGTCAAGTGTATGACATTACATGGACAGATCTGAATGAAATTTTTGGCTATCGAAAAAAGTAAATAATTAATTAGCCCATTTATTTTTTGCCAAACATTCTTGCGATCGATTGACTGGCAAGCACTCCGCGATCGACTGATTGGGCACCCTGGTTTATATAGATTAAACAAGGTTGAACACAACACCAGGAATGCGTTTAACTTCACTTTTTACATGAACAGTTATTTAGCAGCTCAGCCATCTTCTAACTCGCCTGCTCTAGGGAGCGTCTCACAATTACCACACTAACCAGCGCACAAGGGAGTGTGTTAAAACTACCTCTCATGACACAGTCCCTCTGTGGACAGAGAATCGTCCACATGAAATGTCCAATCAGCTGGACGGAAGACAAGACTGACACGGAGCCAAAGTTTCTGTCCATTAAGAAAAAAACTTGCCGCTGCCACCAAACAGGGTTTTGGGCTTTCATATGAAGGAAAACAGAGCTTTCACTGGACAATTGTCTCACTTTATTGGGAACCAAAATACAGAAAAGAGCAGAAAAAAAAGTAATGGGAACAGCGCGTCCACACCGCACTTTCCCCTGAGACAGAGATCAAATCAAACTGGCACTCACACTAAACGTAACTCTAAGGGGAGCCAGGTACTAGACTGTCAGACAGTGTCTGTAGCTGTTCACAGACACAGCTCTGCTTATAAACTACAACTCCCATAAACACCCCGAGGCACCTCCTAATGTCTGCGTCACAGTCCCTATTCCTCCTGGCTGTAGCTGTGGTGACGTCAGCGGGTCCCTCCCCATTCTAGCAGCTTCACAGGAGAGACTCACACGGGATTTCATTTTTAAAAGTTTATTTTCTCAAAAATGAGAACAAAACACGGGAGATATTTACAAGTCAGGAGTACAGCAGGCTGGCAGAAAGGTATATCTCCCTCTCTCGTACATGTTATTTTTTCCCCATTTAAAACTTTTTCTGTAATATAACACATTTAAACACGACACAACATTGTCATTTCTAAGATTACTATTATATTTATTACATCATCTCACTACCCGCC